TTTTAAGAACTGCTGTGCTTATTATAAACATGATACTTCATATAGGCGTTACCCAAACATCCAGCTGATTATCAGTTTCCTAGCACGTATTCTAATTACATCTGATGCCAAACTATTATTTAAGAACCTATTATTGAAGATGTTGTAAAATTTAGACTCAGTCCATGGTAAGGATAAGGGACCATGTGGGATGCACTGCTGAATAATATTCTTATAGCTGAATAATATGTTAATAGCTTTTTTTGCCACCTGGGAAAGATACCAACACTCTAGGTTAATGTTTATCTCTAAGACTGAGATACTGACATCTCTTTTGCATTCCACAGCCATTTGTACTACACAAAGTCTAGTAATTCCTATATGGTACTATAAATAGTGCTATGCTTCTCAGAAGATTTGGAAGGGGAGTTAAAATTTATGACTAGTTAATGCAATTGAAAATGATCAAGGAGACATCTTTTCCCAGCTCATCTGCTTTTATGCTGAAATAAATGAAAATATGCATCCTCCCTTTTCTTATGAGATGTTGACTGCTTTGAATTTTCATATGTATTTATTATGACAGAATTGCACTGGCAGTCTTATGCACAATTTTTGCAGATCCAAAAAACTAACATTTAATAATTTTTGTTGTCAGCTGTGCATGGTGTTGGATTTGATTCTCCATTTTGGATGCCTTAAACTTGAACGTGATATAAAAAACAAGTTGACAGCATCCCATTTGTGTCTTAGTGCTAGAGCCTTATAGTCACTCATTCCAATGTAGGACTTTTAGTATGCAGTATTTTTCTCATTCAATTGTGCTAGCCTAAGAGTAGCTGTCATCTATACCTCACACAGGGTACATTCAAATGTGTTGCAAACATTTTCACTTCATGGCAAGTGTCTTTGGTTTTATTAATGCCCACGTGTTGTTTTTAACTGAAATAAGAAGTCTTAAAAACAAGCAAATACTTGAGAACTAAAAATGTACTTATCTTATTGTCAAAGACTTCAATTACTGCATACTTACTGTCATGATGTTCATTAATTTGTGCATCTTTGCTCCTTGTAACTTCCTACTTCTTTTCAAATCACTGTTAAGAAATATCCACCATGGCAAAGCAAAACCCTATAAATTCTTCAATGGAATTGCGTAGATAATTGAAACAGAAATCAGAGCTGACTTCACTCTTTTCTCTGTAAAACTTCAGTGTGAAAATAAGAGGAAAGAAAGCTCTCATTTCTGCTCATTGTGATTTATCTGTCAGTAAGTGCTAGGTCTGTAGCTGGCAGACCTAAGTGTAGCTACTCGATGTGTTGATGAGCTGTGCTGATTTACAGCAAGTCCTGTCATGGAATGCCTAGAGGGGAAGAGTGTAAGTATCTATTTTGTAGAATAATAGAGTGCTTTGTATCCTTAATAACATGCTTTTGATGGACAGATATATTCATGTATTACCTGACATGTAGAGATTGTTGGCAGCTTACTTTGTCATTTGTTAGATCATATTGTGTCTTTCGATTTAAAGATTTATATACTGCAATGGAAATACAAGAGTGCAACAAAGGTCAGTGTTACCTAAGTTGTATGTCTCCCTTTGATTAATGATATGACTTCCTTCAACAAATAAGCAAAAGAACAAGTGAAAAAACAAAAAGGTTAACAATAGGATGTGCATCACACATGCACAACTCCCGCTACCTTTGAGTAGAAATTTGAAAAACCAAGCAACCGTGTTCATAGTGTAAAAATGACCAAAAAAAAAGAATAAAATTATTTTGAAGACTTATTCATGTTCTTTTTTGGTTTGTGGTAGCTGAAGAACACAATAGCAGCTATGAGTGGGCAATCTCAAAATCAACCACAATGAGATGCCCCTTAAGGAAGATTTGATTAAAAAAAACAATTGTTCTTGAATCCTAGGGCAAATTTCTGTTCATAAAGTCATCTATTGGAGATGATTATTACTGTCCTTTTCACTCCAACTGCTCTGAATACTTCAATATTTTTGTCACCTAGAGCAATCAGAAATGCATTAAAATACATTTAAGCTTTTGGGAAACTTAGGTAGGAAATGACTTTGTATGAATTGTAGGCACTTGCATCAGCTTAAAGGTATGTTTAAGTTGTCCTGAAAGATTTTATTCAGTCAGAATATGTTTTGACAAAGGACTTTGTAAAAGCCTAAATACAGTGAGAGATTTGTATTGGAAAAGATTAATTGGACGTTCATTTTTGCAGACTTTTCTGATGATGCAATATTATATGCATATATTATATCCACCCAGGTACTGGGAGAGATGAACAAGAATGAAAGGATAAAGGCGTTTATGCTCTTTTGTATCTCTCATTTTCTATGGACATCAAAAGTAGCCTTCCCCTGTCAAAGCTGCATTATTATATTTATGAATTTGGTAGACTACAATATTGCTGTCAAGAAAAGAAAGCTGTATATTTTCTCTTGGGATAGAGGCGGTTAAAACACTAAGAACAAGATGCAGTTTTATAGTTAATAAACAGAACTATATACAGAATGTACTGTAATGAGTACCTAGAGAGTTATAAAGCTAGCTTAGGAAGGAGAGATGTGCAACATGTTGTCACTGGGCTTTAAATCAATACATTACTTTTTCATCTTTAGAAGACTCTACATTTTATTTAACACAAACTTTTTTCTTTTCTTTTCTTTTTTTGTTTTTTTTTAAGCATAGTTGAACATAGCATGTCACTCTGGCCATTATTTCAAAATACCTTTAAAAATAATCATAAACTCCAATTAAAATGCTCTGAACCTTCATCATTAGGACTGAAAGCTCAGTAGTCCTAGTTTTTTTGTGTGCAGTCCTATAAGGGTTTGATACTTTTCCACAGATGACTTCTAGAAGTGAAAGTGAAAAGTTTTATTTCCCTATTGTCAGGATATTTAGATTTTAAATAATTTAATGCTACTCTTTGTGTAGTAGATAATACTTAGAACAAATGTTTTCTGGTTGTTGTTGCTAGTGTTTTCGGAAGAGCTTAGTTGCACTCAAATAGGACTGGAGAGACCTAATGGTGTACTGAGTCTCTTCTGTAAGGCTATCTGCTACACAACCATTGTTTTTTTTTTTTTTAAATGAGCTTTAGAACATGCCGGGTTTTTGAATCTGAGCAGATGAAAATTCATGAGAGTACCTCCAGGTCAGCAATTTATGGCTAGTGGTTTGAAGCACTTTTGATTTCACTTTTACGACTAAATTAACACACTGTTAACTTCAAGTTAAAATTATCCTGAAGGTCTCAAAGACCTAGACTCAAGCTTGTCTTGTTTCAGGACAGAAATTGGGTTAAATTCATAATCAGAGTCAAGGAAATACACGATTATGTGTTTAAAGCTCTTTGAAAATTTCAGAGGTAACTTTAATATCACTGTATTTTTTCTTCTCATTTTGAACTTTTTTTAAAATTTTATTTTAAAACCTGACAAAACAATATTAAGATACCAAGGCTCTACTCAGTTTATACTAGAACAGTAATTTGTAGCTTGATAACTTGTCTTTGTTGGTTATATCTTGGATACTATCCAGTACAGATTTGTGAGCATCAATAGGAATGGATCTGAACATGACAGTTGGTTCTGATGATCCAGTACACACCCTGTGCATTGTCATGGGATTTTACTCCAAAGTCTCATCTTCTGGATTAGACCGTCCTTAGGAGTTGAAGCATTGAGTTTATTCCCAAAAACACTTTTTCATTCACTTTGATCTGAGAGGCCATTAATTGGTATGAATTAAACTGGACATTTTAACCTCATTGACAATATTCATTTAATTGCCAATTTTCGTTTCTGAAACGTGTCTGAACTTAAATGTCAATATGAACACATTTCTAGACTGATTGAGGTTTTAGTGACTTGTTCCGTGGCCTAAATAGCTTGCATATGTGTCATGGAATTAAATGGAAATAGACTTCTCCTTACACTTAGATGTGAAGATTCTACAGTTTTTGCAAAAGATCAAGAGATAATGATCTCTCTTCCTCATCTTGGAGCTATAATATGCATTGGATGTAGTCAAATGCTACTCAGAGGAGCAGATATATAGTTTCACATGTGCTTGTATTTCGTTTTTAAGGTGATCTGAACTTGATTGTTTGCTTAACTTAAACTCATGATGTATAATTTTAGTAAGCACTAAAATATTCTTCAAATATTGGAGAAATAAAGGCTATCAAGTGCTCTGTTTGCATTTTGAAGTTTCTTTATTTCCTAACAAGGTGACTGAAATGAATTTCATGTTTTGCTGTTTTTCAGTGACTGTAAATGACGGCTAGATGAAATCCTTCCTTGCAACATCTGTTCAGTTTATAAAAATCCTGTTAGTCATGTTATCCTGGCATTTATGCTATTGTGATTTCATTGGTGTAGATCTAAAGGGAGAATGAGACCTTAAGTGCAGGGTGATAACATAAAATTTTGTTAATCAATGAACTAGCAAGGTATTTATGCAATTCTTTTTTTATTACCTCTGAATGATTCATCATATTAAAAACCTCTGTAGTTCTACAATTTCAAGCAAGCAAATTCCAGAAATTAATGACAAAATTTCAATGTTTGATTAAGGAAGCTTTGTCACATGTAATTACAGATACTAAGAGGACAAATTTGCTGTCAAAAAGGTTTATGCTGCTATTTTGTGATGATGATTGGACTCTACTCTCTTTTAAACTCCATTGCCTTCAAATGGCTCTGCCTTTTATCTCTATCAATGTTGTTACTCATTGCACATTTCCTCTGTATACATGAATTAAATAAATCTTCTGTATCTTTATAATGTTTATGTCTGTCAAAAGTTCAGAGCCAAAATCTGATTTCTGTGCTCATACTGAATAATGCTTAATTCCAAGAGTGATGCTGTGTATAGAATAAGTTGCTAATCAGCATAAATTTGGGAATGTGTGTGTTTTGAAATGTTAAGCTGAAATAAGAATAATATTCAAAAAGCTTGAATAACTGAGAATTTCTTGATTTTTGTAGGGACTGCTTCTATTAGGCAGTGAGACATCCACATCCAAAATCTATCTTCAGTCTTTGAGTTGCAAAGTGAAAAAAGTCCTTAAGACATGGACATATTGGAAAAAATCCACTGTAGTGTCACCAACATGGTCAAGATATTGCAGCACCTATCCTTTGAAGAGCGGTTGAGTGAATTGGAACTGTACAGTCTTGAGGAGACCAAGGAGAGTTCTCATCAATGTATATAAATACCTGCTGGGTAGATGCAAAGAAGGCAGAGGCATTCTCTTCTTAGTTCTCCCTGCAAGAGCAGGAGTTTGGACTAGAGGTGCCTTCCTACCCCAATCATTCTGTGATAAAACACAGTTTTAGGGAATTCACCGAGCTCTTCAAACCTCTAATAAGCTTTTATTCATTAAAAACTTCTGGAAATGGGCATCAGGTGGCATGGTTTATTCCATTTGTGCATCTTCTACTCAATCTGCAGGCAACTAAAGAGCTGTGTGGGGAATTTGTCTCTTAATGAATCATTTGCTGCTCTGAAATAAGAAGTTGTTCTCTAGAATTTCTAGTTGAAATTAGAAATCTTCAGTTATGCAGAAAGTGAAATAAATCATTTGTGACTTTGGAGACAATTGTTTCTTTTGTTACCAAATGCTGCATACCACTGAAAGAGCCAGATACACTTTTACATTGCTTACTGATAATCTTACTGATAATCTTAGGAAGACTTTGTGTTTTGGAAAAAGCTTCGCAACACAGTTGCATGTGCTTTGAAAACGCTGAAATAATTATGATGTTCATTTATTTGGAGTACTATTATACAAATTCATATTAGCCTTTATAAAGTTAAAGCAGTTTCAATCTTCATACTGCCCTATTGCTAAGAAATTGTTATTTTTCACATTGCAAATGTGCTTGTGTACTTGTAAATTATTTCTCTTATGAAAGATTGAAGAAAATTGAAACTTTTCTCCTTATTCCCCATGTGTTGCATGCCTTTTACTCAGTGGTGTGTTTTCTTAATATTTCATTTTCCTTGAAATTTGCTGCTTGGAAAATACTTAAATAATGTGATACTATGCTGAAAATACAGATCTTGAAAGAAATCAAGTTTTCCAGCTTAATGGCAGGGGTTTTAGCACAAGTTGCCTCTGCATCTGGAACACCGGAAAGGGAAAAGGTATTCTTCTTTTACAAACAAGGAAGAGAAATCCAGTGAAATTGCAGTGTTTTTATACAGCTGACAAGGGATGAATGAGTAGCTGAAAAGCGTAGTTCTGTGTTGGAATTTGCTTAAGACACGCCAGCATAATGGATAAAATCTTAAATGAATTCTGGATTGTTATAGGATTTTCTAAAATTATTATTTTTGGATGCTATACAAAATTATTAATTGTCTGCTCACAAACAAGAAATTGGGTTACAGAAGCATTATTACATGATAGTGCTTTTCTCAATACCATCTTTTGAAGGTCTTGTTTCAAAAAGCCATTCACTGAAAAGAAACGACATGAATAAAACTGTGAACAGACTCTATATGGAAAGGTTGAAAAAGCTGTCTGTGTGATGTGAAAGAAATGATGTTAAGTAGTATCGCAAGCAGGAAATGTATCATTTTTTAACTGGCATAATGTGGGAATTTTTTAATGATAATTGATATTAGATGTGTACAGTGGTAGCGAATTACTGCAAAATGAGTTAGTAAGATTGAAAACTGTCTCCCATTAAGGGAGGTTTTCAATTTAGCCAATGGTTACTAAGCAGGCAACTATCCTCATGCTGTTCCAGCGTTTAAATCAATGTGTAAAACATAAGAGTCTTATTTTTAAGTTAATCTCACAAATGTTTGTTTTAAGATTACAAATCCATTTCTTTTTCTTGATTAGAGTGGAAAAGCAACATATTTTCAAGTCTTTGAATGGAACATTCATCATTAAGGAACGTTATTAAAATGTACTCACATCTGTAGATTACTGGACGTGGTTTTAACCAAGCCAAAGAAGTTGAAGGTGGATCAGTGTGGATCTAAAATATAATGAGCACATGAGACTACCTTTGTCTTCATGAATTGAACAGATCTGCTCCTATTCCTCTGTGAATTAGTTCTATGAAATTCAAACTGGTGTACCTTATATCCTTTGAGAGGTATTTTGTTATACAGAGAGTATGCTGCTTTGAAACTTTGTTATGCTCCTATAGTTTGTTTTCTCCACAAAATTATTAAACTTAATTTTATGTATTAGGATTTCTAATAGGGTTCCAAGTACTGCCATTCAAAAGCTCTTATGCCAGCAGAGTTTGCTCTTCGAGCAGAATGGTGCTTGCAGCAGAGCTTTTGTTTCACTGTGCATGTTCAGAAATATCTAAAGGGTAACTCTTGAAAGGTGGATCTTTCCAAACGCAGCTGACTTAAACTTAAAGCTGCAAACTTAATATGTGATGTAAAAATAACCATTGTTGCTTTAGGTTTTGTGTAAGCATAATCTGCAGAAGTGCCCATTCTGCCAGCAGGGATGGCCTGCTTGTCTCATGAATGTATGAGTTTGTACCAATGCTAACTACTCAAACTAACAAGTTGGCTTTTTTAAAATCAGGGTCAATCCAGTCATAGCAAAGGTCATGAAGTCGGTCTGTCTGCTTCAGTAAGAATTTGCTTTCATAAAAACATAGAATGGCTCAGGTTGGAAGGAACGTCAAGGATCATCAAGCTCCAACCCCCCCACCGCAGGCAGGGCCACCAACCTCCACATTTAATACTAGACCCATCCAACCAGGCCTTGAAACCTCCAGAGATGGGGCATCCACAACCTTTCTGGGCAGCCTATTCTACCACCTCACCACTTTCATAGTAAAGAACTTCCCCCTGACATCCAACTTAAATCTTCCCTCCTTTCCTAACTAAAACATCATGTGGATGAGGAAATGGGTAGGTTAGTTGCTACTTGAAAAACTGCTGAACTCTTAGCCTTGAAGGTCTTTTATCTTCCATGTTCCCAAGCCCTTAGACTGCAAGTGGGATTTCAGAGAGAGCTGTTAACTAGCATGAAAACAGAAAGAAATAGACTGATTTTAAATTTATTCTTTGCCTAATGATTTTACTGTTTTTCTGGGTGTTGAAAGAAGTTTCCCTGTTGCAAGAAATGTCTGAAAATAGCAGACAGTACAGACTGTTTATAGGACTTAAATTCTTTCAGTGGTGATTTTCTTCTAATTCAAATAGGAGGAACATAGTTGGAGCAGTGGAAAAATTATATTTTTAAGGACAATTTCGTAGTAAAGTATCATAGTGATTTGTTAGACTGGAATTTTGCGGGCACTTGATCTAAGTCGCTGTTGCCAGAGTAACAAAATTCTGACTGCATTATTTGGCAGGCAAAGAAGGAATTCTGTCAAGTATTTTTTGTTTGAGTGTAATTACCATAGATCTATATGTTGTGGTTTGTTATGGTGTTTCTTTCCTTTTTTTTTCTTTTTTTTCTTTTTTTTAATTTCCTTCCTGTCTGGGTTTTAACTAGTGTCTTGATGAATGAAAGACTGTAATCAGTTGCAAATATTGTAGAAGTTAGAGCAAACATCTTGCATTCACATAGTACTTTACTGTTTACTATTACTCTGAAATTATAGTGTGTGATTGAAATTACGCAGATATGTTTATGTAAACATATGGCTTACATTAACTTTTATTCAAGTGTTTAGATGAATTTCACTTTGTAATTTTGTTATTGGAGATCAAGCCAAGTACTCAGCACAGGGTTTCACTTCAAAGATCCTTTAAACAATTATTTAGAATGCTAGAAACTCTTACGCTGAGATTTAGTGCTTTTGATTTTTTTGTTGTTTGTTTTTTTTCCCCAAGTCTGAAAAAATTTTTGAACGTTGTTGTAGAAATCATAAATTTGTTTTATCAAGTCATCTCCTGTTTTTAAGCATAAATATAAATCTTTTTTTATAAATATAAACATGGAAGGGTATCAAAGAAAATGTAGTTAAAAGCAACAGATTTTGTACTTGCTTTCATCCTTCACTACATCTTCACTATTTTTAGTCACAAAAATAATAGTAATCAGCTTTCAAACAGAATAGCTTTCACAAATCAATGAACCGTTGATGAAATTGCCAACAATAAGCATTAAGGATTGAAATATAATAGGAAAGGAGGGTGCTGATGAAAATGAAGATAGAGAAATAAAAATGGGAATCCATTTTATCTATGTATTTAAAATCTGTGGGAATTATTGGTTGTTAAAGTTGGAGAGCTTTTCATTATTTGTCAAAATAAGGAGAATTTTGTTGATCAAAAGACATAAAACACCAAAAATAGTAGAAGCATGATCTTTTTTTTTTTTTTTTTTTTCTGTGGTAGGAATATTTATATTTTCTAGTAAGGGAAGCTGCACTAACAGAATAAATCTACAAAATCCTTAATTTAATAAAACAAAATTTTCTATTGCTTCCTGCCTTTATGTAGGTTCTGTGCTAAAAATGTTGATAAGGGGATCAAGCGTACCTCTGTTCTGGAGCTTTACTCCTTAAGGCACAGCCTTTTATTGGAATCTTGCAGCCCATGACCAGAAGATTGTGGTAATGCAAAGCTCTTATGTTTTGCTGATGTTGTCTGTGTGTTCTGGCTTTTACAGAAGTTTGCCGATTGAGTTGTAACTTAAAAAATTGAAAGAGCTATCCTAGAATACCAGAGCATCTTAGTGTCAGTGAAAATCAGCTTTCTAGTTTACTGCAGGAACATAAGTAGGAGTCATTGATGACTCTTTCTAGCTGGAATTTTTGTTTTATGTATCTTTAAACAATCAGAACTATAGCTTACTCTTTTTAAAAACAGTGGACTGCTGATAAACAAAATATTCAGTTAGGTAATGTATCAAACTACTGATATCAATATCAGTACTCTTACTTTTTACAGGTAGTTTCTAGAACTGTAGCCTGAAATTTGCAATTAGTTACGTTAGTTTTCATACTTGTTGAATCTGATATGTAGTCGATATAGTAAGTTTTTTTTCTCTTCTTTATTAATCTCTCAAAACATTCCCATATTCCTTAATCATTCATAAACTGTTAATTCTTTCTATTATTATACATTGCCCCTGTCAAGAGCAGTATAATGGTTTAACTATTGTTGGAGGGAAATGTCATATAAGATTGGTAGCTGTAAAGGACTTTTTTTGATGTTT